AGCTTGACAGCTAGCAGAGGCATTCCCCACTGCCTCGAGAGGTGCACTAGGTGTTTCAAGGCCACGGACCCGTCCAACGACTGTGCTCCTCGCTGGGCTGACAACTGGCCCGTGAGCATGGGCGGGAAAATTGCCCTCAGTCTGACGAGGAGCGCTTTGGTCACTAACTTACTCAACGTAGCCGCGAGCACAATGGGGCGGAAATCCTTGGGAAGAGATGGCTCCTTAGTCTTGGGTATAAGGACGATCTGCGACGTGGTCCACTCCTGGGGGAACACAAGGTTACCGAGGAGCAGGTCGTTGACAAACTCAACCAGGTGTTCCGCGGCATCCGACTGTAGGACCGCGCACCAGAGCTCGTACGGGGCCCCGTCTCTACCACAACTTTTGCGACTCTTGGTGTGCAGCAGAACTGCTTCTAGCTCCTCCTTGGTGACCAAGGCCGGTGCGGGCATGTCCCTGCCAACCATCGCACGGTATACACCCAAAGCATCGTGAGTCGGGGGTTCGGGAGGCTCGTACTTCTGTTTATAGAAAGCTTTAAGCCCCCCAACAGCCGGTCCAGTTCCACCACAGCGCTGACAATACTCCAATTGCGAACAGTTGACCCCTTGCTTGCGCTTGAAGTAGCTGATGACCTGGTAGTCTCCTGCGGCTGCCCTGTCGAGCAGCTTGGTTCGCCATTCTTTCTTGCATTCGGCTCTTCTGACCATGACTTCTCTCCCTAGTTGACGTTTGAGTAAGGGGTCTGTAGCCGATCGCCTTTCCCGAATGAGGTCTATCACTTCAGGCGGGTCCTTGAAACGCAGACCTCGGGGCCTGTGACAGGATCGTGACGCCACTTCCACAAAGTCTTTCTCACATAGGTCCTGCTGGCAGGTATCCGCTGTCTCCGCCAGCCTGTTTAGTGCTGGGACCGCCTTAGTGTAATCGACGATCCACTTCCCGCACTTAGTTCTCCTCTGCCTACGTCGTTTGAGGCCTACGCCAGTAGACACACATAAACTGCAGAGCCTGTGGTCCGACCCAACGAGCGTGTCTGAGTCGGGCACCACCT